TCAGATATCTCCCACTATGGTAAGAAAGCCAAATTTTTAATATGAAATATTTGTTGAAGTCGATTACCTTGTTTTATATGCAGTACGATAAGAGGCTATTGATAAATAAGTCAGTGGGGGAAACCTTTTTTGGCAGGTGTGCTATGGTCGTGTCCATCCCCCCATTCCTCGCCCCCATCCGCCCCCTGAATGTCACTCTCATCCCCTTCCCCTGCTCAATCTGCTGCTCTGCTCTCTTCCCTGTTCTCCTTGCCATATCTGTTGGTGTGCAGCCTGCCCCATCCCTGATTTGTTGTGTGCCACAGAGGTTGCCCATGCCACAGGTTGGCCGTTCCTCACCCAAGTCGTAAATATTGACTTTATCTTCTTACAGAGGAAGTAGTTTGAGTCGTCTATTAAGGGCCACAAAAAGATCATATGAATCTTCCATATCACGCAAAGCCCAGGAATGATCTTGCTAACATCTTTGTGGCATAACGCTTACATCTGTAAACAGCCTCGCTGAAGTGTAGTAAGAAGTATCCTAAATAGAAAAGTGTCTGTATACTGCATTAGCATATCAGACACCATTTGTTTGCTTAAAGACCGGCTTCTACAAAAATCTGGAAATATCACCCAATCTATCCGATATCAAAACAATTACTTCTGCAATTTTTTCAACTGTGTTATCTTTTCTCCTCAGAATTAGGATTGAAGAAATTTTATTTCCTACAGAAGTATTTGGTTATGCTAAAATTACTCAGGCAGACATAGCCATTATAAAGGTAGGGAAAAATGAAGGGAGGGGAAAGCTATCACATCAACCCAACATTTTGGAAGCACTTTCATAAATGGATTTATTCTTCCATAGTTATGAACTACGCCCACCCCCCCCACACACACCCTCCCCCACAAAATCCTCTTGCAATTCATATCCCTAGCTATATCCAAATATTATTGCATTTAACAACAAATTAAAGTTTTGTCATTTAAAATCCTAGTATTTTCATATTTCCAGTTTACAAAGCACTAAACTAACTGATTAAGGTTCACAAGTGGAGACCTTGCCCATGAAAACTACTGAAAAACATTTAGCACTTAAATGATTTTAAAAGCATTTGGAGACATGTAAATGCATTAAACTATTTATAACTCCTGTGAAGAGATAAGGATTTGTTGTTACCAAATAAGGAATCAGAAGCAGAGGTGACATTCCTCACCTAAAACTCGTGCTAAGCCAACAACTGTCAGAATTAGTACCTGAGATAATTACACTGGATGAAGGAGACAAGTCTATGAACACAATCTGTGATACTCATGTTCTGAAGTGACCCCAGAACACATGACAAAGCACAAATTAAAGTAAGAAATACCCTCAATATTATAACTGCCTACATGCAGTCATAAAACACTCACCTTAACTCTTTCATTATCCAACAGTCCAAGGAAGTTAAATGATGCAAAGTTTATACATTCCTTGCCATTAACTATTATTTTGTGTGTCGGAGGACTACAAAAATAGAAAAACATTGCTACTGTTAAATATATGCCACTTTTGATTTAAAAAAGAAAAGTCAAACAGTACATCTTTGTTTTGAAACAGCCAAGACATATGCTCACAGCATTTTGGAGGGTCCCCCACATTCTAATTTAAATTGGTATATCTGTTTCCAGTTTATATTTAGTTCCAACTCCAACATCTAGTCAAATCCCAAGTCAATGTAATTACAGTCCGCAAATATAAAATCCCCAGTTTCTTAAACCAAATAAAATATTTTTCAAATTTACATCCTGAACAGTTTCGTTGTGCTATTTCCTGTTGAAAGCTTGTTTCAATCCACCGTCCATTTCAGGCTAGAAATACACATCGCCAGTTAAGTGGATCAGCTGTGATGGGACGTGTCCCACTGAGGCACATCTGTATAAGCAGGGAAAGCCAGCTCTGGTGCAGTGCTGGGGTTGGGATCGTCAAGCCCGGGACCAAACCACAGTGTTGAACTAGGTTCCATTAAGCTCATGGGGCTGGGACCTACAGTCCAGTGACTGGCAGCCCCAGAACCACACTGGAGTGTCCAACTGGGGAGTCCCCGAAAGCAGGTGAAAGTCAGACAGGCATACCCCAAGCTTGAGAGGAATTCCTGAAGTACACAGGACTGGGTCCCTCAAATCCCAGGAGTGCCTGCCAGGGCAGCTGGACAGCACAGGCAGCTCTGGGCTGCCCACACTCATGCACTGAAGCAAACTGTCCGGAGCTAAATGGTAGCGCAAATTGACACCGCCTACTTTGCAGCCACAAATTTCAGACATTTGTGGCACAACAAGGGACATGGATATTTCTTTGCTTGCCCTTTGTGCTGCCATGAAAAAGTCTTATGGCAGCACAAAGGCTACATGTGTTTCCATCCTTAGAGAAACGGATAAAACTGTCTTTACAATCCATAAGAACTGCATTTGTGATTCTTTGGAATGAGAGATGCTAGATAAACAAAAAGGAAGAAAAGTTCTGCCACTGCTCTAAACAAGAAGAGTTGGAAATTATCAAGCACGCTCACCAAACAAAACTTGTACAGAAAAAATAGTTTAATGGAATCAGATTTAAGTAGACACGCCACCAAAATATTTCACAGGGTTTGTAATTTAATATATCAGATTTCCCATTCTGTTTAGTGTATAAAAGTTAGTAGAACAGCCTTTGCTAGAAGTCTGGCAGCCAAAAGCCAAGATGCAATGTGTGCAATGCAGTGTGGATTTTTTAACTATTCCAGGTAGTTTTAAAGCAGATTTGTCTATCTGTGCTTCAGCTTTAATCTGCTTTTAAACTAGTCTAGTATTATACATAGTTGTGGAAAACCCTGGAAAACCTAGAATAAGTTTTTATCAGCAATTTGAAGAGTTCATGTACACGTTGTTTTTATTAATTTGTTTTGAAGTTAAAAAAAAAAATCTGGAAAAAAAAATTCCAGCGACTGTGCTGCATGTACATGTGCAAGGCATCTCTAACATCCTGAATGTGTGAACATACTCACAGTAACATTAGACAGGTCGGTAGCCCCACTGAGGTCAAGAGACTAGACTACTTATTACAAGCATGTTTCAAACTCAGGGCATAACTCTAGAAATGCAGCCTTATATCAGTGAGCATTATATACTTGATAAGCAATTTTTAAACACTAACTGTGGTAAATCTAACACAATTCACTACATGATTACTTTGCAAATCTACAAAGGACTACAGTAATTACTGAAATTTGCCATGAACATGCTCAAAACTGTAGCCCTAACAAAGATTTTTCTATATCAGTGGGCTATAGGCCAGATAAATGGTAGAACCCTGCACATGCTAGACCAAGTCTGTCACCATGGCCCTGACCCCATGCACTGGCCCACCCCTAGGCCTACATCACCTGGTCGCTGAGTTTGGAAATTTGGAAGTGGGAGAGCAATGGCAGCATCAATTGCCATCCCTCCTTGAGCCCAAGTTTCCGGACTTATGGAGACCCCATAAGCTGGATAACATGACTCTATGGGTTAAATGTGGCACACAGGCAAGAGGTTAAGAACCGCTGCTTTATACAATTTTATCCCAGCTTCTAAAGAAATATTCATCCTTAGGCAAACACCAAACATGGAAATTGTTAATTTATCTTATGAAAATGGCATAGTAATACTTCTTTCCAATCCTCAATAACAGTGTGTGTTACAAGACAAAATCATGCATGAGAGGTTTGGGGTTACTCAGTTGGGTTTTTTATTGGGGGGTGGGGATATTTCTCAGTCCTTGGAAAGATATTAATTATAATGAGAAGCCAAGGAGCTGAGAGCATTCCTTTCATATAAAAGCATAACCCAAATGATTCTCTTGGAATCTACCCATGTATCAATTGGCAACAATCCAATTTTCAGGCTCTATACAGGCCTCTATCTATGCCTGTGTCTATAAAGGGATGTATGACTAGATAGAGGCTTGTAAAAACTAAACTCTTTGATATCAAACATAGAAATAAATCAAATAAGATGAAGCAAACAACTGCTGCCATTTTATTAAAGTTTGCATGGAATGGGCACCAGTGTGTGAATTCCATTGTTTTGTAATACCTCGTTTTTTAGCACTTGTGTTTCCAACACTTCATTACTTTAAACACATTAAAGTTCACATTTGCTGAACAAGAATTTGGCAAGAAGTTGTCGAAATAAGCTATCCTGCAGACAGACTAATGTTGTAGGAGGATTGCAACATTTCAGAAATCAGTTAATTACCATGATCAACTTGTTGTCATATGCCTCTCTATAATCAGTAACTGAAAACTGGCTGCTATTTTTTTCTTGAAAACGTTCTGTCATCAGCTTTGCTACCATTTAACAATATTAGATGCTGGAACTCTTTGAGCTTCTGTTCAATTCCACAGACAAGGAGTCTATGTCAATGAACAGAAAATGAATTTAACATAAGACACAATTGCCTTACATGACATGTTAAGAAGGAAGGAAGATTATACTCTTTTTGTGGGATGATTTTTCATTCTTTTAACACACAAAATATTTCACACTTCTTAAGTAGGTGTGAGCAACTTCTGACTTAAGTTCATAAATTGCATCAACTTCGGGAATACAAAACCACTACATACCAATGCAATTAAGAGATGTATTATTCAGACATTCTTATGGGAGACATTACCGACGCATCCAAATCACAGAAAAACAACTACTTTATTACGGGTAGCAAAACTGCCTGAAAAACTACAAGAGGGAGACAGAGTGGCTCTTGGACTTACAGAATATAACATCTTCCACATGGGCACAAATTCTGAAACATGATCTATGTTGACAGTGCAAATTGTCAATACAGCAGCTGTTCAGTGGCCTATTAGAAGGTGGTTATCTGGCAGTCTTAATCTGCCCATCTTTTCTCTGCAACTGCTATTAAGTGTAGCAGCCATGCAATACTGACTTCATATCGGTATTCAGTCCCTGACCTGAAGTTTATTAGGGCATTTTAAATCATGTTAAAGTTTTCAGAAAGTTTAATTTCTGAATGTTCTCTTCACTCTACACCCAGCATTTCAATTGTGAAGGACCTTATAGGATAGAAAGTCTTTTAAAACAATGGAGAGGGGGGATAAAAGTATATGCTTGGATGCTCATATCATTAAAAAAAAAAATCACAATTAAAACCGGCACCAGGGATTTGGGTTTTTTTGTGGCAGACCATTGCTTCTTCGTTGTAGCTGAGGCATCTGGGCATGGCACCATATGAAAGTAATTGCTGTGCTGATCATGCTATACTTGTTCTGTGATTACATTATGTAAAACAGCTATCGTTACTAATAAGACATCTTTAATAAATACAAACATATTTGCATGTTAGTGTTACTAACAAAGAAGTAAAAAAATCTAAAGCTAGCACCTTTCTACAATCATTCCTTTACACTGTGATTAATAAGCTAGGTATGCATTGATTTTCAAAGTACATCCATCTTGCAACACACATGATAAAATGCACATCAGTATTACTTTTGTAGGACATGGCCAAGACTTCAAGGGTGTTTATACATGTGGTGGGGGGACGGGACATGCACTTTAATTTGAGCAGCTCTGCTAGCCACTCTAATTAAAGCTGCTGGAACATTTCGTGCATCAGCCCACAGCACCTAAAAATGGCAGTGGGGACACTTTAACTAAAGCTCATTGAACAAGCTTTAGTTAAACCAGCCCCACCACCATTTTTAAGCATGGGGGCACTGATAAAAGAGATGCTGGAGTCTGCTGGAGTGTGGTAATTTGCATGCTCCAGCAGACTCGATTAATTGAGCCTGCTGTGACTCACTGTTCACAGCTCCGACACACTGTTTACAGCACGTCAGAGCAGGCTTGCTGCTTGTGTATAGATGCCCTGATTTTTTTTTTTTAACTCAACTGTCCATTAAGCACGGTAATGCAAAGATTAAAAACAAGAGAATCGGATTCTGTGTATTACTGTATCTCCTAAAAAGATGACCGACTAAATAAGGATGCAGCAAGGACCCTTAGCCTTCAAGCATAAACCCAGTTCTCTAATCCTAAAACATAACTCATTCACAAAGATACCCCAGAAACATCAAAATCCTTGCATATTTAAAAACAGGGATGTCTTACAGAGGTTTGGGTTAAAATCAAACAAAATTCCGTTTTGCTAGATTTACCCTGAAACAACATTGTAGTTGAGAGCAGGATGATCTCTTGGTACAGGAGGAACGAGAGGCTCTGGCTGCCACTCCTCAATCAATTCTTCCTTTTCCTAAAATGGACAGAAGAAAAATACCAAAAATTTAGTATCTTTTTTGCTGCAACGACAGTGGTGGGATGAGCAAACGACTCTAGCTTCACATCAAATCAACCGCACTCCCACATAACACCTGAGATGCACCATCACCCCAGCATACCACGCAAAGGATTTCTTCACTGCTGAAACTGACGTGGAAAAAAAAAAAAACCTGATCAGATCTGACCATTAAATAGTTCATGGAATATTTTCTAAGAGATAAGATGTTGATGCTGTGTCCTGACCAGAATTATTCTGCCTACCAGCTCTAAAAATATCCCTCTACAATACTAATGGATACATCACACTTCACTCATGTCTTGAGGCACTCTACAGCCTCATTTAAGCATTACAGCAGTTGTGCTCAAACTTTCTGGCCAGTGGGCTGGATGGGCAATGACTGGTCGCTCCACAGGCTGGATCCAGCCAGTGGATCCAATCTGACGTTCCAGGCAAGTGCTATGGGGCCCCATCCAGCTGTGCAGAAGGTGGGGGAAGGGAGCAGCCTGGACCCTTCCAGCTGTGAGGGGGAAGGGCATGGCCCTGCCCCAACCCAACCTCATGGAAGGGAGGGGCCATGATCCAGCCCCAATTGAGTCCCAAGGGGGAGGGGGCATGGCCCAGCCCCAACCTGTGTGAGTGGGAGGAAAGGGTGCAAGAAAGCGCCCAACCCCAAACCAACCGTGCACGGGGAGTGGGTGTGTCCCAGTCCTGGGGGAGGAAGGAGGTGTAGCTCACCCTAACTTGGCCAGGTGGGAGGCAAGGGGGCATGGGCTGGACCCACAGGTGGATGGGGAGAAGGCTGCATAAGCTGGCCCTGAACTAACTGAGCAGAGAAAAGGGAGTGTGGCCTGGCCCCGATTTAGCCATGTTGGGGGAGGGTTGTGACCCAGCTGCAAGTCACCATGCAGGGCTTGGGAGTTAGGCAGCAAGAAGGGCAAGGGCTGTGGTATCAGCTGCCACTGCTCCTTTGCTATAAATTTCCCAACCATGGAGAGCCAGATACCAGGACTCCACAGGCTACATTTGGCCCTTGGGCTGGTGGCTGAATATCCCCGCGTTGGAGCACTATGAAAAGTAACACAAATATAAACAGGGCCCAAGAAAAAGAGAGTATACAGATGGCCAAAGGCAAGAACAGAAGCATTCACTAATCTGCACTATTACTGTGCATTGGATAATTAGACATAGGACTGAATGCCCCACAAATACTACCTCACAAAACAGCTGAGATAAGGTACAGAGGAGGTAACAGAGACAGAGTGGCTCAGAAGGACAAAGTGAGCCAGTGTCACTTTGCCAGCCAGTGAGGCCAGCATTAGACTTCAGGAGTTTCCACCCCCTTAGTCCCATCTAGTCCCAGGCTGCAATCATGGATGATATTTCCCCTGTCAGTGAAAATGTGCAAAGCTCTCACACTTACCACAAGGTCAGAGCATGCACACAAGTAGTTAACACAAAATAGCTAAATTGCAACTTGCTGTAAAATCCACACCTTAATATCTCTTGCAGCAACTTGCTCATACAACCACACCCTCAGTATATTTTGCAAGGCCATAACCATAGTTAAAAGGGGCCTACTATGAAACTTAAAAAGAAAATAAAAAGCCCTGTAAAAATAATACAGGTTATTACAGCTAAATTTATACTGTGGCTCTATTTTCTGCTCGTATAACTTGTTGCTCTTAGTGTAGATAAGGCCCAAAGTAACTGCTACCATTTTTAAATACCCTGCTGCCAAAGGACATAGACAAAACAGTATTTAAAATGTAAGCAACTGCCAAGGCAAACCATCTAAACCATGAAGTTTAATTCTTTTTCAAAAAAGAATTGTAGAACTGTGTCTAAGGGTTATCTCCAAAACAGAAAAAAAAAATCATAAATTTCTGATAATTAATCTGTTCATGTAACTGAGAATACATTAACTTAGAATTTTCCTAATAGACAGAAATATGGTCCAGAACATTTTCCACTGCTTTATTTTTCTGTGGGAAATTTTCCATTTCTAAAAATTCATTGTTTCCTAAAATTCATTAGTAAGAATAAATGGATGCCAATACCATATTAGGCAAGCTCGGCAGTTTCAAAGTTGTAATGGTTTTTCAGGTGATTATCTCTAGGAAGTGTGTAAGACAGTACATACATATTTTATTGATTTGTAAAACAGAAGGGTAAATAGATTCACATAATAATCCAAACCAAAAATCAAGTTAGAAATTCAGCTAATTGGCTGTGTAGGTCACATAAAAACCAAAGTTAAAATTCTTATTTCATCTTAGACTGCAAGTGAAAGCAAAACCAAAACTAAACCTGTGATTAATTTTTTGTTTCACTTTCAGTTCAGCAAACATACACAGCAGCGTCTCATTTCTTTTCTTGAGTTGGGGAAGTTGGAAGTGTTTGCATAAGATCTGTTAGTTTTTTAGTGCTTTTGCTTTGAAGTAGTCATAATAATGCCTAATCAGAAAAAAAACTAGTATGTGGCATCATTAGAGTGAAGTTCAAGCCACTGAAGGAAGGAAGTTGGTAGATGTAAATATTACGGGCAGGAGTATGCTAACAATGCAACAAGAATAAAGAAACATTTAATAACATGTAGAAACTGCCCTGAAAGAGTACAAGCCATATACAGAAAGCTAATACAATGAAGTGGCGGAACAACATCATTTGAGAAAAAGTCTACTTCAGGAATCCCATGCAAGTAAACAAATTAATGTGTTAAACAACACACACTATAGACTAGCACCTATATTGTTTTAATACATTATAATTTTAAAAGGTGTTAATTGTAATATTATTTATTTATTTAAAATATTGGCATCCTGCTTTTCTGCTTGCTCTAAGCACCCAAAGTGGCTTAGGCTTAACAGTATTTTCTTTTAAATTACATAATAGATAAATAGTTCACTATTTCAACCCAGCAGAGCAAACTTAGTCCAACTGGCCGAAGGCAGAGGCTTCCTATACTTCCCTTTGGTTCTGCAGTCCCGGGAAAACTGAGCAGCAAGTTGAGCAGCAAATTGTTTTTTCTGGCAGGGAGTGGGGAAGTAAGCTCCCTGCCAAGTGCTCCTTCTGATGGATGAGGCCAAACTAGAACAGGCTAAAATAAAGATCTTGTCCCCCTTTTGTTGCAGGAACTTGGCAGCTCAAGTGAAATAGCCAATTTGCAAAAAATGGAAAACGAAAATGTTGAGCTGCCAGCTTTGGGGGAAGAAGCATCAGGATCTTCGCTTTCAAGATCACTGACACCAGATATAAGATCCACCATGAGTAGCTGTTCAAGACGGTCAAGCTTTTTATCAAGCTTTGTGAACAACATGTCACAAGAAAATCAAGAAAAAGCAGATGAGACATTAGCTAAAGCTATATTTTCAAGTGGTACACCTTTTTCCATAACTGAAAAGTCAATACTAGAAAGAACATTACAAACTAATTTGCCCATCATATAAGTTACCATCACGTTATCCCTTACCACATTCTCTCTTAGACAGAGAGTCTGGCAGAGTTCAAACAATAGTTATTCAAAGGACTGACCAAGCAGAATCACTGACTCTGATATTAGATGGGTGGACTGATATACAAGGAAATCCTTTATTGAACATTATGTTAGCAACACCTGAACCAATATCCTCCAGGGTATAAGCCCTTGTAACCGATAATGCGAGTAACATGAAAGCTTCAGGGGAAATATTAAAGGCAAAGTATCCTCATTTAATAGTATCTGGCTGTCTTGCTCACGGGTTGAATCTTCTGGCAAAGGACACAGTAAGTGTGAAGACAATGAAGACAATATTGGCAAACTGGAAAGCAATTGTGAAGGTATTCAACAACCATCATGTTGATAATCAGACTTTGAAAAAATTACAGAAAGAGAAGCAGGGGAAGGAAAATGCACTTTTATTGCCAGGAAAAACTAGACAGATGGGACTGTGCTACAAAGTGTTTACACAGTTTGCTGCACACAAAGAACTGTTTGCAGTCTGCTTCAATAGAGGACACAGCATCCCAGATTATTCTCGTGAACTGCTGGAAGCAGATGCTCAACAAAGAGGTGTTCTGGGTTCGAGTTCAAGGAGCATTCAATCTGCTACTACCAGTTTCAGTGGCTATCAAGAAAACTGAGTAAGATACACCGAGTCTTTCAAACATTCCAGAGATATTCGGACAACTGAATGAAAATCTAATTAAGCTTTTTGCCTTCTTCACCTCTTTCCAAAAAAGTAGTAGTAAAACAAATGTTTACTAAAAGAACTGAGTTTTGCCCTCATCCAGTTTTTCTGGCAGCAAACCTTTTGGATCCTCAGCACAAAGGACAACATTTATCAGAAGATGAATTATCTACTGCTCTCAATACAATTATGAAAGTAGCTAAGAGTGTCCCCAACATCAAGGAAACAGCCGTGATGACAGACATTGCCAAATACCGTGCAAGAGAAAAAACTTAGGGGCAAAGACATCATTTGGTGGGCAGCAGAGAATGCATCACCTCTCACATGGTGGAAGGGATACTGTAAGACCCAACTGCTCTCCAGGATTGCTCTAAGGATCCTAAGCATTCTACCAACACCAGCACTTGTGAACGGAACTGGAAGGCTTTCAGCTCAATTAAGACAAAAAAAAGTGGAATAAACTAACAAATGAACACACCGCTAAGCTTGTTTCTATTTCTCAGAATCTCTTGCTTCTGGAGAATCGGTCAGAAGCACTACTAGTGAAGAAAATGCAGTGTGATGGTAAGTTGCCTTTGCCCATGGACTCATTGGTAAAACCATCCTTTAGCGAAAGAGAATGTAGTTCAAGAAGTTCTGAATCGGGTTTGCCTCAATCTGATTCTGAAATGGAAGTAATAAGTAGTGCAAGTGATTCTACAGATAGTGACACTGAAATTGGAGGGGCCGCAATGACCTCAGTGGAAGATAGTTCAGCTCTGCTGAAGCAGACGAGTGGACAACCACGGCATATCACTCACAGTTCTTTGGGTGTGCTAAAATTAGTGTGTCAACAGTTTTCAGTGTCTTGGTTTTTTTCCTTAAATTAAAACAAACAATGTAAGGGAAGTACATGCTATTGTGTATTGCTGCTATTTTCTCAGCACTAAGGAGCATTTCACCGCTTATACAACTGGAAGCATTTTCACAGCAGCCGGCGCTGATGCACTTACATATGTAAAAATGCCCAATGATGTCATTCCCCGTTAGTGTGGTGCACCAGTGCTATTGTCCAGGATTAGTTAGTGTGGCGACAGCCAGTACAATATGCTCCTTGTATAACTCCAGTCTGAGTTGTCAGTCTTGTGGTCAATCCAGAATAGATGCTTGACAGTCCTGCTCACAACTTTCCAAAATTTAAAAACGTTTTGGGCTAAAGGATGATTATCAGATTTCAGTCCCGGGTTGGATTTTAAGTAACAGTGGCTAAATACAGGTCATATTCATGTCCCCTTGAATTACTCTTCTCATATGAAAACGGAAAGTCTCAGGAGCTTCTTGAATACTTTTTGTAGAGAATTCTATAAACTCTACAAATGTGAGCATCATTAATTGTTTATTTATCAAGTTTGGCTCATGCCTATCTAGTCAACCAACTCCTTCCTGACTAGTTCTCAGTTTTGTATCCCCAAAGGAGTACTAGTGCCATGAACTAGATAGAGAGTGTCAAATTCATCCAGCCCTGTGGGGCTGGTCCACAAGTCAGATCCAGAGTACAGAGTCAGTCCATGGAGCTGGGCCAGAAATTTCACCATTAATTGACATGAGACTTAGAGCTGTGGCAGAAGCCACTCACCTTGCTGCCACATTTTCAGTCCCGTGGGCCAAATAATGTGCCTCTACACTCCTAATCTGGGCTGCTGGACTAGATATTAGAGGTGTGCTGATACATCAACTCCATATCAGATCGGCTCCAATATACAGAAAATTGAGAATATTGGCGCACAGCTTTTTTTGGCTGATGTGGCTGATAATGTGTCCGATAAATGCCCCATGCATGTGCAGCTGCAGCACAGCAGGCAAGCGGCCAGGAGAACAGCCTGACAGGATGGAGAGCAGCCGGGTGCGGTTGTTAAATCTGTTGTGGGGAAGTGGTGGGGAGAGGAAGGAGCATGGGGGGAGGGCAGATTGAGGCCCCCCCACAGTGAAGAAGGGAGTGGGGTAGGGCTGGTGCTGGGACAGGCGCTGCCCAGCCAGGGCAGGGTGAGGCACGGGACGGAGCCACAGCTCATCCAGGGGACGTGGGGAGGGAGGGCAGCTCCTGCCACTGCACGTACCCCGGGAGGACACGGGGGGTATATGACTCCCAGATCTGCGCATGGAGGAGGGCAGCTGCTGCTAAGGGCTGGGCCAGGCTCTTCTCAGCATGGGGCTGGGCCAGGCTATGCTAGGGGAAGGTGGCGGTGGAGCTGGGAGGGGATTTTTGTCAGGGCTACAGTGAATTTTGGGGTGGCTCTAGCCGCCCCATACTCCCCGCTCAGCGCTGCCAGTGCCCAGCCTGAGCACAGCCCAGCCTAGCGAACAGTGGCAGCCTACCCTCGCCCTGTGCACAGATCCAGGGGCAAATGCAAATCCCTACGTGCTCCCAGGGTGCGTGCAGTGGCAGGAGCCTTCTCACCCTGCCCCAGACAAGCCGTGGCTCCATCCCATGCCCCACCTGGGCACCGCCTGCCCCTGCCCCACTCCCTCCCTCGCCACGGAGGCCTGGACCTGTGCCCCACCCCTTCCCTCACAACAGATGTACCAGCTGGAAGCTGCGCTCCATGCTGCCAGGCCACATTATCAGCAATCGGACTGGTAGCGGCTGATATGGCTAGTTTAAAATCAGCCATCACTATCAGCCCAAAAAATCTCTATCGGTGCACCCCTACTAGATATTTAGTGATGGGGTGAACAATGGCAGCATTAACTGCAGTGGCTCCCAGAGGACATGGCAGTTAACAGTGTGACTAGTCATTCTGCTGCCAAATTTCCAACCCTGTGGGCTGGGTCCAAAGCACGGAACCACACCATCTAGCCTGCAGGGCTGCCTGTGAGGCCAGAAGTCTGGCAGCTGAATGAGCACCAGCTGCCACAGCTCAAGGAGTGGTGGTAATTAACATGCCCACTTTTACTCTGGCGCTGAATTTCCAGCTGTGGGCCAGATGATATGGCTCTGCAGGCTGTATCTTTAACACCCCTGCAATAGATGGTCTTTATCATCTGGTCTTTATCATCCAACATTTACCCTTTTTCGGACACAGAACTGTAGTTTCATCCCTAGTGCTGTGCAAAAAGATGGTGATAGAATCTGTCAAACAAGAAAAAACTTCTTTGTGTGGGCTCTCAGGAACCCCTGACTTCCCTAGCTTTGCTTCATTAACTCTTCTTCTTTGTTCCTCCATGAAGCATACTGAATTTCAAGAGAAACCAAAGAAACATACAGGCTTCAAAGTACTTAAGCAGAAAAGTGTTCCTCAAACTTAACAAGAATGGAATCGGCACTTGGCAATAACGCTCTGCTGAATGCCAGGGAACCAGGGATGAAGAATCATAAGAAAAAAAAGATACAAAGTTCTAATATTCATTTTTCTAATACAGGTGCTGAGCTGATACATGAGTATTCTCATTTAAATCAATGGACACACACATGCAGAACAGACCAGGTGTGCAGGTGCTTGCAGGAAAAAGATTCAATCCCATATTTATCAAAATGTAAAGCTCTCTATTCTCCCTGTATCTGAAATTGTAGGTGCTACTCTTTTGCATAGACATTCTTTCCTGGCTTCTGATTTACCAACTGCTTTCTTTAACAGAGAAACTAAAGTTAATAATCTGAGCTTTTAAAACCATCCACATGCTACCTAAATTGGCCATATTTAAAATGAAGTTATTCCTAAAATATTCTGATGCTCTATTCTACAGATCAGTAAAACCTAGGTCTCTAGATTTTAATTTAAATCCAATTTCTTCAAAGTTCTAACAACTGAACTTTCAGAAAAAATACATCTTTACCTTAAAAATGGAGTTTAAAACACTGCTTTCAATCCCAAAACAAAACCCCAGCTTTTGCCAGTCTTACACAGCTATAAAGTCCCTAAAAACATCTTTTTTACAATGGTTACATTCTGTGATATGACCAAGCTACCTTGTATTCCAGAACTGGCAATTGCATTAAATATT